TTCTCGCACCAGCCTCTTTGACTAGACACTCTCTAAATATTTACCCATTCATCCTGCTCTCTTACCCTGAAAAGCACACAGATTGGAGAGGAATTGTGTTAGATGAAACAAGAAATAAATGCAGAGAGAGAGAGAGAGATAGATGGATGGATAGATGGAGGGAGGGAGGGAAGGACAGAGATGGATGGATGGATAAGAGAGAAAGAAAGCTTTCAAGGTAAAGACTTGCACTGACAACTCAAAGGCATGTGGTTCGAATCCACCAGCTGCTCCATGAAGCAAGATGGGCAGTCTTTTCCTGTATGATAAACCTTCTGGAGGGTCAGCTGTGGGTTGACTCCGACTTGAGAAAGAGAGAGCAAGAGACGAGTTGTTGTCGTTGTTGTTGTTAAGTACCATCAAGCTGACTACAATTCTATAGAGATCCTATGAACAACAGACCTGAACCTTGCCCTGTCCGGTGCCAGTCTCACAATCGGTGATATGTTCAAACCTATTGTTGCAGTCACTGTCAGTCTATCTTGTTGAAGGATAGATATATAACTATATCTGAAACAACAGAAAGTATTACATTCAGTAGAACAGTTGTTTTTGTTGTTATGTGTTGAGTCACCTGTAACTCATAGCAACCCTTTGTAGGACGGCTCTGAAGCCTGCCCCATCCTGAGCCTGTCTCAATGACTCCGACCCACCTATACCCATTACCCCAGTTACTGTGTCAATCCATCTCCTACGTTGTCAATATATTATTAAAATTAATTCAACTATTTAAACATCACTTAATGTTGCTATGAGAAAAAAAACTGAACGTTCAGTCTGGGGGCTCACATTTTAGACTGGATGGTGCGTGCTCTGGGCCTTTCCTGTTGTGTCACTCCAGGGCTCTCTCTTTATCTCTATTCATCTCTATCTGTGTGGCCCAATAAAGTCATCAATGACCACGTGTGTCTATTTCCATTTAAGTAAACTAAAACTAGACAAAATTTTTAAAACTTGAGCATCGCATCAAACTAGACACATTTCCTGTGCTTGGCAGCCGCTCGACTACTGTATTAGATGGCACAGATCTAAAACATTTCCGGATCACAGAACGTTCTCAATATTGGACCGCGCTAGTACAGACACTATATATATAAGTGTCATAGGAACTTGTGACTTTCAGACAATTTCCACTTGCCCTTTAATAGTATGTAAATTAGCCCTCATTTTTAAATGATCAGACCAAATCGTGCTCCCAACAAATTTTTCACCACAATCACTATCATTTGCTGTATTCGCAGCTTTTGAATCAATGAAAAGGCCTCAAGGTTGTTCTTGCACTAAAGCTAAATAAGAACTGTATGTACCTGCTCAGAGTTAACCTGCAAATTAGACTTAAAGGTACGCTTAGGAGTGGATCTTACTCACAACCTGGGGGCTGCCTATCCATAGGTATGGCCCAAACCCCAGAGGTGGAGCCTGATGCCTAAGGCTTTGGGCATTTTCCGTGGTGCATACGTCGGCAGCACACCTCCTGCCTGCCTCCTATGGCTCCGACCCCTTCCTACCTTTGTTAGATGCGTCTATGCGTGCCTTATCTTTTCTTCTCTCCATCTGCAAGAGCTGTAGTCTGCTTATCTTTCTCCACATACACCTCCCTCCTCTCTGTCTGTTCACGGTCTCTAACACGGTGCTTTGTGCAATCTAGGTACCAGGGAGAAATTTGTTAAACATTGAGAATGACAGTGAAGTTTGGAGGAGTTCACTAAGGTGTAGAAGCAAGATGAGAGAGTGAGAGAAAGATTAAAAACAGGTCTCCAAAGAAGGACTGCAGGGGGCTGATGAAGTAAGAGTAACTAGTCATCATTGTTGTTGTTGTTGGGTACCACCCATAGCTGACCCTCCAGTGGGTTTTCAGAGGCAGTTAATCTCACAGGAGATTGTCCATCCTTCACCCGCAAGAGTGACCAGGAGGTGAACAAAGGAAAGAAAAGGTGGAATGAGAGGTGGGCACTGGTGACTCACACATGTCACCGAAACCCTTCTGCCTGCCCCACAAGCCCCTCGAAGACAGTGAAAGGAATCAGTGCGTAGGAATTCACAAGCTTTCACAACCGCCACATAAAAGTGCAAGAGAGATTCAAAACATCATTAGGTGGTAGACAGACATGCAAGACCCATACACAAGGAGTTGAAATGGCATGAAAATGAAGAGTCTGGTGGGAAGAAAAATGAGAAATGTACTCTCCCTGGGCCAGCTGGCCTGAGTGACGTTTTACGAGCAGCATGTGAGTTCCAACGCCCTTGTTGAATTAACAGCAGAACCGCACATTAGTTTTAAGGCTCCCTCTCGAATAGGAACATCATAATGTTTTTTAATTGGGGCTGATAAAAACGTAGCATTACTTGTAGGTTCCTGGGAGAAGCGAGTTGTGAAATTGGGTTTTCATTAAACCTAATGATGGAAAATTAAGTATAGTGCGTCTGGTGAAATGGGGTGTGAGAAAAGGCATCACTTCTGCATTATCGGAGGTTAATAAGGGAATAGGTGAGCTAAGATACATTGAGAAAGGGAGTCCAGCTACTTGAATTAATAAACCTTGAAAATCCCTTGGTTCCAAGTGCTCATAGCATCATTAGCACTGGCATTGACATTATTACAAATGTTACAGCAACACACGTTGCTAAACTGCAAACACATTTGTTTTGCCATTCCAGTGTTGGTTTTGCTGACACTGAGTTTACAGTCTGTCTAACAATGTGTTCGGGAAAAATAGCCATATTGATAGCTATTTGGTTTTGGAAACATGTGGCATGTCACAAAAATTGCAAGTCGCCGCTTTCTAGGAAGGCAGGCGCTGCCAGGTAGTGTGCTTCCTGGACAGCCCAGGCCCCGTGTCCGGGGCAAGACCAGGGGGCTCTGAAGACATCTGTCCCAGCTGTGACGATGGCTTACATGGAAAACACGCCCAGGGTTCTGAGTACCGACTCTGCTCCAACCTGTCTTTGGGTTCATGAGATTCAGAGTCTACAGAAGCAAACTTCAGAGCTCTTTTCCTCTCCATTCCAACTCCATCACACAACAGGAGCCGTCTTCACTGGAGGGATACGGCATACCCGTGACAGCCAGGACATCTGCAAGCAGTAGTGTGAATCTCCACAAGGAAGGGAATCTGCGTAAAATTCAACAGCATCACACTGGTTTCAAGACTCTTCTTACACCTTCATCATTTTTTCTGGATCTGCTTCACACTATCTTGTGGCTTTTCTTCCTTTGCATTTCCACCCACAGCCCACACTCCACAGCCCCTTGTCTTTATGCGAATGGCCTTGACCTCTCAAACTTCGCTTCTTTCGCTTCAGGTGGTCCTTTCCTGTTTCACCTACCAGAATATCATACTATCAGGGTAGAATTGATCTTTCTCTGGGCACTGCCAGAATCTTACGGAGTTCTTGGCAGATAATGGATTCTCAGGAAGTCTAACTCATGATCCCCTGGTCTAAGGGAGAGGGCAGTAACCCTCATATTAGTTAAGAGCTACATTTAAGCAGTATCAGTGCACATGTGGCTATCTTATTACCCAAAATCCCATGCAGTAAAAATCAGTCCTTTTTCTTACTTGTAGTCAGGAAGTTTTTCTAGATCTTGCATCCTTGGGTGTACATCTACACCTTCTAGATAATTCTGGCAGTTCAAGAGTGATGAGCTAATCTCAAGAGAGTCAGGCCTTGCTGTGCTGTTTGGAATGCAGTGTGTTGCAGACCCTTCGGACCATGCATGACACCACTCATGAGTTAGGTAAACCTTATCCACGTCTCAAGTTTGGACCAATCATGTCAATAACTCCTTGGAGGAATTAACAGGTGAGGGCAGACAGAAGGATAGGAAAATAATAAAGGTCCCATTCTATAGTTGTTGTTATGTGTCGTCCAGTCATTTGCGACTCATAACGACCCTATGTACAACAGCTCTAAACCGTGCTCTATTCTGTGCCAATCTCACTGCCTCTGACACACCCATCCCGAGTGCCCCAGTCACTGAATCAATCCACCTCATAGAGGGTCTTCCCTTCCTGCGCCGTCCCTCCACCCTCCCAAGCATGATGTCCCTCTCCAAGGACCTGTCTCTCCTTACAACATGTCCAAAGTATGTCAGAAGAAGCCCCAGAATCCTTGCCTCCAAGGAGTAGCCTGGTTTAACCCTCTCAAGGATGAAACTGTTTGTTTTCTTGGCAGTCCAGGGTACATTCAATACTCTTCTCCAGCACCACAGCTCAAAGGCATCAATTCTCCTTCTATCCTTTCTAGTTATTGTCCAACTCTCTGATGCATAACAAGTGATTGCAAAGACCATGGCCTGTATCAGGCGCACCTTCATCTCCAGAGAGACGCCATTGCTCTTGAGTACTTTAGAGAGGTCCCTAACAGCACACTTTCCCATCGCAATATGTTTTTTTATTTCCTGGCTGCTAGTGCCATTCTAAAGACACAGGTAAAAACATTAGGGTGAGCATTGGTCCCAGCTTGCCTAGGACCGAGGTGGTTGATGAAATGCTAGAATTTGAATGCTAAGGCCCAGAAAGTTTCAGGCAAATGGACCAGAAGCAGACACATGGCCCGCATCTCCAGGGACCTCAGGTTCTGCTGTCAGCAGGGACTATTTCTCAGGCGTAGAGTTCTCTCATTAGCTAATCTCTGTCATTACTTACTGGTTCTAGGACTGGCCACGTTGGTCAAGACCCTCCTTAGAATGCCGGAGGAAGAATCGAGACAGGCTGGGGCTGCCAGTCAGCCTGGCATTTTGTCTTTGCTCCATAAACATGGGCCCTGAAGTAAACATGAACCCAGGGTTACTGAGTGGGTTTAGTTGGAGATCCGCCGAGCTGTTGGTCTCTAGCTTCATGATTTCCTGAATCAGCTGTGTTCTTGACCGGTCCCCTCTGTCCGTCTCACACCAAGCTGGGGGAGGCAAAGGACGAAGCCTGTAGGTGACGGTCTGTTCCACCTCCTTCTCTTTGAAGCAGATGGCAGCCGTGGGGAGCTGTCCCAGCCTACCCTCACCATCCAGACCCATCCCTACCGGACGTGCGACCCTGTGGAGATGAGCTACCCCCGCGACCAGTTCCAGCCGGCCATCAGGGTGGCTGACCTGCTGCAGCACATCACCCAGATGAAGAGAGGCCAGGGATATGGGTTCAAGGAGGAATATGAGGTAAGAGACGGCTGTTAATGGATTATGACATTTATTTATAGGAAAGCCCTGCTCCTAAAAACATGGTCCTCAAACCAGCAGAGTCCGAATCACCCAAGAAGTTTCAAAAATACAACTCAGCCCTCACCTTAGACCTACCAAATCAGAACATCTATTTCACCGAGAACTTTAGGTGATCTGTGTGCAAACTGAAAGACTGATACATCCTTGATCCCACCTTCCTACTTTCTCTCTTTCTTCTTTTCATAATCCAGTTATCCCCCAAATGTCTCCCCATGTAGAGGGGCAGTCTCCTCCTGTGTGATTAACTACCTCTGAAAACCCATGGGAGGGTCATCTGTGGATCTATTCCAATGTGATGGCACAAAACAGCGGAGTCACATCTCCTTTCCATGTCAAGGTCAAGAGAGAATGGCTCTCATTCTCTAGACAACCCAACAAATCGTTCTCATCAGTGATTTCTGGTATGCCTGCTTATGCCTGTTCCTGTCTTACCCCATAATCATGCTTCTATGGGGTCACCATCCTTCAATGCCTTCACTCAGCTTCAGTGACTGCTGTCTTCTCACTGTATCGTCTCCCTCCTGCGCTGGTCGTTCTTTTCTGCTCAGATAATTTCTAATAAAGGTAGTGGTGTGACTGAGACTTGGAGGTTAAGAGAGAAGAGCTCAGCAAAGTACAGGACGTGCTTTAATATAGCACCGTGATTCTGAGAAGTTCCTTAACCATTCACATCACTGCAAAGTCCTCTTAAAGGTTCTACCCTCTTCTCAGACTCTCTCCACTTCCCTCCCAGCATTCTTCCCTGTATCCTCAAAACCTCCTCCTTCTTCAGCAGCCAGGAAAAGCAGTCCTAATTTCCTCTAACTTTCTTTTGCAAAACAACTGAGCTGCTTCTGTCTCAGGCATGTCTCAGATGTGGCCCATTAGACCTCACCTTTGACAAACAAAACATAAACAGAAGGAAAACTCATTAAAATGTTTTCCTCTACTGAAGTCCCAGGAGGAATTGTGCCACCTTCCTGTGCAGGTCTGCATCCAGCCACAGCCAGCTGTTACAACAAATACTTCTTTACTTTTTAGTTCCCCTCTTTCTCCCTCTCCTTTTTCCTTCCCAGAATTATCTCTGGAGCTTCTGCTGTGTGTCAGGCTCTGCGTTACTTGCCCCAGTTCATTTTCCTTTGCATTTTCCCTCCCCCAAGCAGTGTGTACTCCAGCTATGCTATGTTCAGTTTCTCTATATGCAGTGGAAACTCACTGGCTCAGATGTTACACATTTGGAAATCTGGATATTGTAGACCAGGTTTCTCTCCCCGACTGCTATGTTCTGAGGAACAGTTTGCCAAAGCATTATTTCAGAAGTCTGGTGAGGCCATGAAAATGGTGTTAGCCTGGGGTCCACACCGCTGGAGAGCACTACCATAAACTCTGTGATCTTAGCATATCATTTTCCTATCTGCGTTTTTAAATTCATTAGTTAAATGAAGAGTTTGGCTAAGGTAATTTTGAAGGGCCTGGCTGGTCCTAAAAAGTTTATGATGGTGTAAAACACGATGGCCAGGGGCATGCTTGACACTTTTATGAGAACGCAGAGTTGATGGCCATGCGGGTGAGTAATTACTGGCTCAGGAAAAGCAGCAGTTAATTTCAAATATGGTCTAAGGAAAGTAGCATTTTTCATGTACTCAGCTTGCAGATCTTGGAAGGACGTGGGGATAAGGTTGCGGAAGATCACAGAATGCTCAAGATGATCTCATCAGCCCTCACTACTGGGTCTTATTTCCTTCATAAAAGTAGACCCCAGGATGAAATGATCCTTATACTTCTAACACTGTCTCCTGTGCTTGTACGTGAGAGTGAGTGAGTGAGTGAGAGAGAGAAAGCGCGCGCGCGTGCGCTGTGTTGTCGTTCACACACATGTAAACGTTCTGGTGAGGATTTGTCAAGAGCATGATGTATTGTTTAGAAAGAAAAGCATATTCAGTACGATGGTTTAATATGTTTTTAATCATATTTCATGTGTTGTGACATTTGAAATAACACAAGACCCCAGCATGAAGTAGTCTCTATAGAGATTACAGCTTTGAGAACCCATTGTTGTTGCTGTTATTAGGTGTCTTAGAGACCATGCCATCTCTTAGAGACCCTGTAGTCCACAGACCCTTGCTGAATCCTGCCCATTGGTGCACATGGTGTCAATCATCTCATCGAGGGTCTTTCTCCCTCCCCTGACACTTTAATTCTCTAAGCATGATGTCTTTTTTTGGCAAGGAAACACCCACCCTTCCTGATAACATGACCATAATATGTGAGATGAGGTATAACCTCTCTGGGGCACTTCTGTACTGTCCTGTCCAAATTGCTATGAATCAGAATTGAATGGAAGACATACAACCACCACATGTGACTTCCAGAAAGAAGAAAAGTGTTCAAAGGCTGAGAAGAGCTGTCCAAAGAACTTGCAATCAAAAACTGCACACTGGAAGTACAGATAGATGCATTTGATTATTTTAGGGATAGCTTTCCAGTCTGTTTTGACCAATACCCCTTTTGAAAATGATCTGTCGTACATAGTGGGGTTTGGTTTGATTTTGAAAACTTCTCCTCTGAACCTTTTTTTTTTATTTCTCCAAATTTATAGCACAGAAACGAACTGGTTTTCTAGCAAATGAGAAAACAGCACGTGTTATCCCATCATTTGAACTCTACCAGAAATCTCTCTTAATTCCGGCTACCCGTGCCCTCAATTAGTTCAAATTATATTAATCAGCTGGCTGGAATGCTTAGCTTATAGTTAATAGCATTTTCTGATTAACCGAGGGCTAATTGGAAAACACTGCTTAATGGAAGCCTTGCCACAATGTGCTGCTACCCTTTCCTAGGAGAGCACTGAGTGTTGCTTTGATCATCAAGGCTCCCATCATGTCTAGAATCCATCCTGAGGAGACAGGGCACAGATCTCCTGGAAGACTCGGTGTCCACTTCCAGCTGCTCCCAAACCCACATGCTGCGTGCTCTTTTCATTGCCTGTCACATTTCTATCCTACTCTGGGTTTTTTTTTCATACGAACGAGTGGGTTTGACAAGTTGGCATTTAAGGGACCTCTCAGCTGCAGCAAGCTGTGCCTTCTAAATTTTCATTCTGTTCTGTAATCATTCGCTCATATGTTCAATAAATATTTACTGAGTATTTACTATTGCCAACGAGTGTTCTAGACATTTGGGAGACAACAGTGAACAAAATCTAGAGCCCAGCCCTCATGCAGCTTACATTACCTGCAAGGACAGGATATCAACGATAGACGTGCTGTGTGTCTTGGTTACATAATGCAACTCTAACAGAAATATCACAGATATGTACTTGCTCAAGTTCAAGGTGCTCATTCTGTGGGAAGCCTTTTTTTCTGTGCGTCAGCCTTAGAGGAAGGTTCTTACCTCTTTCTTCAACTACTGTTTCTTGGTCTGTTGGACACAGCATGTAACATGCCATCTAGCTCTCCTCTCTCCCACATTAGTGCTTTTTTGCTGCTGTTTAATCTCATCTGTCCTATTTCAGAAGAGATTGACTTAAACACAGCCTACACCAACACACTCATTAACATAACCAAAGCCTATTCCAAAATGAGATTATAACCAAAAGTATAATAAGATTGACCCCACACATTTTGAGGGAAACACGATTCAGTTCATGACGCTGTGCACGTCTACAAAGTTCCCCAAATCTCGGCAACATAAAATAACCAATCTGCCATGCTCATTAACTCTGTGGGCCAGGAACTTGGACACAGCACAGTGGCAACAGCTTGTCTCAGGTCCAGTATCCGGGGTTTTACTGGGAATACTGAGCACGTCTGAAAGCATCTTTACCCAAGTGTCTAGTGATTGCTGTGGGTCCCAAGCTGCATTTTTTTCAGCATTTTTCACCTAGCACGCCAACCTGAAGCCTATTCATGTGTTTCTGGCTTCCTCACAGGACAGTGAGATTTCCCACATGGTGAGAACTCCAAAGGTGATCATCCCAGCTGAGAAGATAGACTCTGTAGTGCCTTTTGATTTCTAGTCTCAGAAGTCACACCATCCCTTCCACCACATTCTAGTCTTTAAGAGCAAGTAAAAGCTGCCTAGATTCTAGGGAAAGGAAGTGAGATCCCATTTCTGGAGTGTGTTGAATAAGAGAGGGAAGAGTAGGGAAGAGGGTTAGCTGAAAGAGCATGTGGAACAGGTAACACTTAGACAACACGATCTCCATCAAAAGGCAGTCTGCACATAGTGCCATGAGGAAGGGAGATAAAACCTAAGGGGATATAAAGTGAAGAAGTTTCTAATATTAAATGGGTTTAAAAGGGTAGTTCATGAGTTCTAGAAAACTCAAATCCATTGCCATCATGTGGGAATTGACTCAGTAGGTTTTCAGAGGCTGTAAATTACAGAGGAGGGAATTGCCCATGTCTCTCCCTCAGAACAGGTGGTGGTGAGTCGGCACCACCTGCCTTTAGGCTGGCAGCACAACGTCTTACCCTCTAGGTCACCAGAGTTTCCTAATCCAAAAGTTAGCAGGTAAAATTGGTGAGGGAGTGTCCTAAGCTGATTGCTAAAAGGCTAGGGCAGTAGCAGGAGTCAAGTGAACAAAAGTAAAGGTAATAGGAGATGAGATTGTAGGGCAAAAGGGGCCTGGTAATCATAAAGACATTGGCCTTGACACTGAAATAGGAAGTCTCTGCAGAGTTTTGATAGGACAAATGACCTGACCTGACCTTATAATCAAAGATTGCTTCTATCTCCTGCACTGATAATAGAGCACAGAGACAAATGTTGAAGAGGCCAGTTAAGAGGTCACCACAGTAACCCAAGTGGAAAAACAATGGTGGTAACCCAAGTGGAAAAACAATGGTGGCCAAGGTAAAGCCGTGGAAGGATTGAAAAGTGGTAGGTTTTGAATATATTTTAAAAATAGAGCCCATCAGGAGAGCCTAAAAAAATTAGACAGACATGTAAGAGGA